TTTTTATTTATTAGTAAATGAGGAAGTATCTCATCTCAAGACACCTTTCACCAGAAGTGGAAGAGGCAGCTGCAAGCACTATACTGGGAGAAACAACAGCACCCCATCTTTTTATCACAAACATCACCTGAGCAGCAAGTATTACTCTGGGAATAACAATTCATCCCAACTGTGCTGGCTTCTCCTGTGGTGGCCAGCATGCCCATATTCCTTTTAGCCTTTGACAAGACACCAGGATTGGATTTAATAGCCAAAAAACAGTTCTCTGACAGAATAGATGAATACAGCCATAGCCAGGTATTCCAAATCCAGCTGAAGTGAGAGCACATCAGCACCTGTACACTGCTGCCTGTGTACGTGAGAAACAAAGCTCATTCCAAAGCACACATGCACACACAGAGGCACAGAAAACCCAATGCAAAAGTGTAAAGGCCATTGCAATGCCTGTGGGGATCTATCCCTCCTGCAAACACTTGGCCAGGGCCTGGGCTTCTGCAGTGTAGCTGGCGGTGGGGACATGCACTGTGAGAGCTCTCAACCTGCAGCAAAGGAATATTTGCAGTGCAGAGGTGCACAAAGAGCCTGAAGAGCTCTGCGCTGGGGGTTTCAAATGCTGAGATGGCACCAGAAAGCTGTTCTGTGGGCTGTGCTTGTTGCCTACCTCACAGACTACCCTTATCCCCCCAGTCAGTCCTGTGTACCACTGACAGCCCAAGTCCATGTCCTTGGCTACTCCCATCAGCAAAGGGAAGGTGAAAAACCAAAACGAGGGAGTACAAGTAATTGAGAGCTGCCCTCAGAGCAACTTGCCCGCTGCTGAAGGCCAATCAGAACAAGACCTGTGTGACCCATGCACAGCACAAGGCTGGTAAATCCAGCTGGGCCACAGCGGAACAAAATTGTATTCCAGGTTTTTTGAAGCACCATCATGACTGACACAAATGCTCCAGCTGGACAAAAGCCAACAATTAATCAGGATTCCTCAGAATTTGGAGGCAATTTTAGCAGAACAAGAAATACAGAAGTATCAGCGAGTCCTGAACATTCCTTCAGGTCAAAAATCTATTACTCCATATAAGTCCATTAAAACACTTCATCTAGGCCCTTTAATCCCTCTTAACAGATTTGCTTTATCACAGACAGAGGAGCTAATCCTCTCCCACCTGTCTCTATGATATGGAACCATAAACAAGAGCAAGTACTTTTCATTTGTTAATCATTATCCCCCCTTGGATAACGCTGTCACCCACACGAGAATTAACGCAACGAAAGCCCAGCTCTCCCCAGTTCTCACCCCAGCAACCTGTTCCTCCATGGAAACTGATCTTACCATCTGTGTAAGATGGTAACTCAACCTCTTACCACTAAGACACTGTGCAAAGCAAGACTCGAATTCCAGCTTGCTGGAGGGACTTCCCTTTTTCCTTCATCCCAGAGCTTGCGTGGCACATTTCAGGGCTTTGCTGTGGTTAACCAGATGGCCAGCTTGTTCAAATCCATCCCCAACCTACACAACTAGGTTAGTAGGTCAGCTGAACTTAGAGCCTAATTACATGATCATTTTGTACAGAGCTTGCTTTATTTTTTTCAAAATAAGCTCTCAAAGCTACCTGAAAACTGTTCAGAAATCATTTTTATCAACTATATTGTGATAGACCCCTGACAGTCAGGTAAGTCAGGTACCCTACAGACATGCAGAAAGTAACCTGAACAGCCCACGGACAAATTTTGGGTTAAAGAACTGAAATCTACACTTCAGACTCCTTATTGTCAACAACGTCATTAGCTTTTAGCAACCCCCCTTACAACAAAATGCAACATCTTTCGATAGTCCTTCCAGTCACTATATTGTAGAAAGCAGAACAGCTTCTAATGACTGACCAGTTAGGGCATATTTAAAATTACTTTGTCTCTTCAAGGGGCAGGGGCTTACTTCATACATCTGGTCAGCTTGTTCAGTTATTTTCCCCCAATAAAAAAACAATCATTTGCTCTCATGCAATCCTGCCCAGTTCTACCCCACAAAACATCTGCCTCAAAGAAGCCACAGACATTTCCATAGCATAAGGCAACGACCTTGTATTTCAGAGGGCCTGAAAGTGAATTCAAATATATTAAATACAAACAATATGGCATCTAACCCAAGAAAAAAAAAGTATTATTCCAACTGCTTTAACACTGCCTTCTCTCAGTAACACCTTAGAATGCCACTTAAGACACACAAGGAACTGCCATTTTCTCACTGCCATGTTGGTCAGAATCAAATTTTCCTTCTAAAAAAAATGCAGCCTGAAGTTATGCCCAAAGTTCAGTTAGTAAAGAGAGCATTAGTTAGTGTGACCAGCTGGAGGGCAGGTTTTGTTGATTTTTTTTTTTTTGAAGAAATCTAGAAGGTGGTGTGACACAGCTTGTGGTGGAAGGTGATCATTAAGAGTACTTGTGGGTCCTTTGGGCTCTCTTTTCTACCAGTGATAGGAAAGCAGTGCAGAGCAAGTCACCTACTGCTCACAAACATTCTCCTTGCAGCTTTGCTTCAGCTCATGAAGAATAAACCTTGGAAAGCAAACTTTGCCTATATACACTGTCACCCCACAAGCCTCCCAGCCTGTCCACTTTGCCAAGCTGAGGCAAGATCTGCAAAGCAAGTGGTTTGCTAGCCAGATGGAGATTTCACTCTATACCTCGCAGAGGTCATCGTGCTGTTTAATAAAGAATTCAGCTTTTCAGTCAGCTCATTATATGACACTGGATCAGCTCTGACAGAGTTAACTACAAAAGCCCAGCTTATTCAAATCATCAATATGCTAGGAGTCAGAACAGCTTGAATATGGCAATTCAAAGCAGCAGGACTTCAAAACTCAAGACATGACACATTTGTCAAGTTATTACTACGTTCTTAAAGTGAAGTTTCTCTAGAACCACTTGCGCTGAATACCATGTGAAATTACATCCATTTAATGAACTTTTTACTTCAGAAAAATTGTGATGTTAGCCTTGACCCACATGAACAGAAGGACTGAGGTTTCCCTATTCACTCCTAATGAAAAGCTTTTTTGTTGAATACGTGTTAAATGGTCACAAGTAGCTGTGACACTCAGGGTCACCCTTAAGAGCCTTTAAAAACAGAAGATAGATTCAGTTGGCATTGGGAAAACCTATGGGAAAGGAACCAAACAAGCCACAGACACAAACATGTTCCCCCCAAAATTTCAAGGCAACTGTTATTTTTTTCATCCTCCCTCTCGCCTTTTATTTAGAATTGAGCTTGGTAGGTTCATTACTTCAGCTGACATACAATTTAAACAGCTAAGAAGTTCTCTCTAGGAAAATTTAAAATAGGTTTACATGTCAATTTGGTATTCTTTAGGAAACTAGAAAACCCTTGAAGGAGCGGTTCCCTCCTCCACAACTGTACTTCCAGCTGCTTGGGTAAATAACTAGGGCCTACACTTCCTGGCACTGTTAAGCACAACATATACATCCAATTGTATTAAATATCCCATAGTGAAAAACTTAGTGGATATACAGTTTGCAAACTTAAAATTAGGTAAACTAAACTAGAGCACAGACTAGTGGTTTTGAAGTATCAAAAGGACATTATTTGCTAGCTGATAGAGCGCAGGAAGGAGAAACCCCAACAACCCAGCAATATGCAGATGTAGCTCACAACCTGTCATTGCAACAAAAAAACTCAAGAGCCATTTTCATTAATTAATATATTTTCTGCATTATAGTTAACATATGTACTTTCTTCGTGTCATCCTTATTTCATTAAGTATTGATATTTTGTTATATTCAGACATGAGTACATTTTCAAAGTCTTTTGCAATAAATATCATAAAATAATAGAGATTCACATAATAAATATTCTTTACAATAAAAAAAGTTTTAACAGACTTTTGTCTTAAAAATAGTTGGGATTCAACTTTGTGTTTTATACATAAAATATACAAAAAAAGGACCACAATTTGTGGCTAAGGCAATAAAACAGGGACAGAATAAAATTATGAAGTACAGAACAGAGCTAAATTCACTAAACCAAAGGATCACAAGAAACTCTTAAGGGTTCAAGAATGTTTCGGTGACTCAATGACACCTGAAGGCTGTTTGGATATAGAAACACCACCAACTGTAATATCAACTGATACTGATAGACTATAAAAACAGGTGTAGGAGGGTGGAGCGAGCAATATCCTTCAAAGATTTGACAGCGAAAACAAATGAGTATGTTGCAGCCATAATGTCTCCAATGTGAAGATCTACATAGTGTAGCAAAAACTGAAGTTACATTGAAAATGTAAAAAAAAAAAAAAAAAAAAAAAAAAAAAAAAAGGAGGGAAAAAAAAAGGAGGCAATGTAATCCTCTATGTTCTAAAAGTTAAGGCAAAAAAGAAAAAAAAAAGAGAGGAGGAAAAAGCAGGCTGCTTAGAGAAGTGTCAGGCCTTTCATTTGGTAAAGCCTTTATTTTACAATCCTCTCCAGAAAGAACACAGAGAAAAAGTTATTTCACAATCCAGCTCACTCATGAAAGTTATTCTTCCTTGGTACCTAGGGGGTTAACAAAAAAAAACCCAAAACAAAACAAAACAAAACGAGCAATTGCTGAGAACAAAAAACATCTTTGGGAAGATAATTCACAGAGCAAGAAGCTTCTAGAGCCCAGTGAGTTCTCACTGTCTCTTTCAGGAGTGGTTCCGTTACAAACTCAGAAGACCCTGCCAAAGGGGGCGGCAGATGCAGATACCAGGTCCACACTTACCAAAGAGCAGCAATGACTACGTAAAACGCTCCACACTCAGCCAAGTCAACGGGAAGAGGAGAGCAAAGATGCAAAGGGAAGAGCTTGTGTATCTCAGGCTGGGGAGACAGAAAGTAAAAGAACAGCCCCCCCTCGCCCCAAAATGGGGGGAAAGGGGAAGGAAGGAAGAAAGAGAAAAGAAAACAATATCAGCTACAACCTGAAAAACCGCAGTTGGAGGAAGTAAACCCCCCTCCAAAAATCATGAGGGCTTGCCCTGACCCCGGGAGGGGCAGCTCTCCAGTTTACAATAGACCGTGTTGGAGTTCTTGCACCGGCAGCCCGGACGATTGACGCGGTCGTAACACCCTCGGCAGAGCTTGAGGCATCCTTTCGCAGGGGGGTAGCAGAGCAAGCACGGCAGGAACAAGGACAGGGCTCCCATGCACAGGTACCTAGAACAGCAGTGTGACTGGGAGCAGGAGCAGGGATTATCCGCGTAAGAGTCCCCTTCATCGTCGTTGGAACAGTGGTAGAAGATCCCTTTGACCAAGCACATGCAGGTGCTGTACTCCACCATGCCCTCCGCCGAGCACAGGCACTGCCGGTTGCAGGCCAAGCAGGACGGGAGGGCCCTCGGGGCCGTGCACTCCCCGCACTTGCACTTCCCACACTGTTCGCAGATGAACTTGTGCTGCGTCAGGTCCTCTTTCAAAGGGCCCTTCAGGTCATCCACAACCAGGGCCGACTGCTTGGGCTGCGTCCGGATCGCCCGGTCGGACCTGTGGCCCGAGCCCGGCCGGGACGGAGGCGAGCGCCCCAGGAG